TTTTTTATCCACCTTTCACCACGATCTGGTTTAACTTAAAGGGATATTTATTTAGTAACTAGCACGTAGAAGAAAATAAAGGGAAAAAGCAAAAAAGGGTTCATTTTAGCCCCCATGTGCAGCAATAGATTAAATTACATCTTTGCTTTTTTCTTTTTTTTTTTTACTCCTCACTCGTGCCTTACATCGGGAAAATTTAATTGGAACCGGTAAGTTACATACAGGTATCATGGGTCATGGATGCGTTGGCACGAGAACTTTGAGTATTACTGGCACTCACTGAAAGTGAGGAGAGGCTGCAAGGTTGATTTTCAACATGGGTGGGCCTCAGGTGTGTTTCTGGCAACCTTGATCTAACACAACTCGGACATTAAATTGTCAATGCATGTATTAATAAACAATACTAATAAGAACCTCAAGTTCAGGAACAGTGAGGCTTTTTTGTCGCAATTCTTTCTAATCTATGTTCACTTTTGGCTTCCTTTTTATCTTATCTTTCTTGGAATTGACTTTCTCATGAAAGGCATCCGTAAAGTAAGCTCAGTAGCCGCCACTGTTTCTTTCAACGAGGCAGACGTCCGGGAATGGATGGGATGGGCTTCATTCAACTGGACGGTAGAAAACACACACTAAGCCCCATTCCGGTTAGGCACGGTATGGATGCCTGGGCCGTCAATAATCCCATCGAGCACGTTGCTGGGGAATCTGCTGTGGGGACGCGTTAAGTGGTTCTATTCTCGTGACCACACCGGAACTGGGCTCCAAAGCTCAAGAGTTAAAAAAATAAACTACTTTCGACGTTTGGCAACTGGACAATCATCGCCTTATCACAAGACCAAACAATCTCCCGTCGCAAAAGATATGAGGATCCTCTTACAGCGCCTAACCCCCAAACCTCAGTCGCTCAGATGCAGTTAGTCTTCAACTACTGCAGCACTGTAAACAATCAGGCCCATTAATGATATCATCCCACCCAGATGCCACCTCGTCGACCGATATCCCCACTCTCTTTGGAAACATGCTCCCCTCCAACTTCAGATCTAGATGCCGATGGGATCTTCGCTTCCGACGATGAGCTGAATGAAGAAGAACGTGCGGCACAACGTCGGAGAATCGAGAAACTTGCCGAGTCATATCTCCAGGGCAAACCCCTCTTCATTCTTTCCGCTTCTCTACGAGGCCCTGTGGACAAAGGTTGGGTGAATCCGTGGAAGACAAACAGGAAACAGAATGATCCATCTGGCCGTAATATCGCACCGTCACTCAAAGAGACCGAGATTCCAGCAAGCCCCGTAGTACAAGAGACCCATTCTCGTAAACGGAAACCACACCATGTGCCTCCAGATGTGCGCAATTCAAGACCATACACAGTCGCTCCAGACTCAGACGTCCTTGTCTCAGGCCGCAGCAGGGGCCTTCTAGAGGAGTCTAACAATCACCCACGCCTCAGTCGCTTGAGCGGTAGACGTGATAGGAGGTCAGGGTCTCCGAGCACACCGAGGAGAGCGATACCGTGGTCAAAAACAATAAATTCCAATGCACAGTTACACCATTCAAGTTCATTCAGACATACAGATAAGAATTGGTTGAAGAGAGACCGGAAACAGATCAGTTTTCGAAACGTCGACCCACCCACATCCCCTACAACGACACTCTCGTCCCGTTACTCAAGCAAGAGTCGCGATTCCAAGGATGGACCGGTCATCAGTCAGACTCGGCCATTTGAACAAGACTCTTCAGCGTCGGCAAGAAATGAAGAAAGAAGCATTTTGTCTTCCCCTACCCATAATGGCCCAGACGCTGAATCTCTTTGGGTCAACCGGGTCTCGAACAGTGTCACCTCTTCGCCGGCTAAAGAGCAGGCTTTTTCTAATCGTGGTATGCCCAAATCCGCCTCGGGGGCAGGGACTCAGGACAATGCGTTCTGCATCCTTGCCCCTTCGTCTCATCTACCGGAATTTGAATACCGTAGGAGGAAGCCTCAAGTTTCCAATGAAAAGGAGAGCTCTAGATCCCTTGTCACTAAGGATTTTGACGTCGGGAGAGCATTTCACCCATCATCCGCCGCCAAAGGCATTGAACGATCGCAGCAACAGATGTCGGTACCGCAAGATACGCGCTTAGCTCACCCCACCCGACATTACCAAGTCGAGCCCGACAAAGTCCCCAAGGGCTTCATCACTTCGACCAGTACTACCAACGCCGTTGGCAATGCATCCGTTTCTCATTCAGCAAATTTCCGATTTACGAGCACTGTAAATAAGGGGAACACGAGTGAAAAATTGCCGTCGGCTCAACAAGTGCGTGGAAACCCGACTATGACAGACATCACGTCATTGCATTCGATTGCCGTACCGAGAAGCAACTCAGAAGATGACGGGGACACCATCCCCGATCCACAACTATCCACCCAAGCAGCTCTTCTTCTCGCGCAAATGTCGTTCCAGAATGATCTTGATAGCCCGGAGCACAATATTGAATCATCGGAGAAACCACAAGCTTCTGGCTCCTCCAATGTCTCTTCACCGGGTTCAAAGAACATCACTCCTTTTAGTCGACTTGCCACCCCAGGAACTCGAGCCAAGGCACCTGCCACTGCAGGGGATCAATGGCTAAGCACTCAATGCATGATTGATGCAGCTACACCTTTCACATTTAGCACAGAAAAGCAGAAAAGTCGCCGTACCATACCCCCCGTGGAGCACATGACGAGTAGGAAAAAACCAAAGACTACTAACTTTAAGCTATCACCATATCCCGCATCGGCCTCTAGCAAACCGGACGACCGCGATTCAAACCCGAGTCCTATTCCCCTCCAGTCTCCTAGCCGTGAGACACAACACAGCGTTCTTCCAATGACCTTAACTGGGACAACACCTCCTACCGCTCAGGAAGGGCGACAGGGTCTTCCAGATCCCAACAGTTTTAATCTTAGCCAAGCGATAGCCGATGCAGGCAGCTGGCTGCAGCAGAGCTTCGACCTCAATAAGGATCTCAGGCAATGTGGAATCTCGAAGCCAGACCCATCTTCTTCGGCAGGCACGCGGCGGTCTGCCGTGGGTGTAGACAGCGACCAGAGAAAGTAGTCTGCACGCTAGAGTATGCTATACGCTTCTTGAGGCATCTTTTTTGCATGTTGGAAAACTGGCGGAGCTGGTCTTCCCGTCGGGTGGATAGCTGTCTCTTTGTCTCTTTGTCCTAATTTTCTTTGGCCAAGAGCATTCGCCTGCGACGTATTTACGATAAGATATCCTGTGAATAGATATATAGAGAGGTTTAATAATACTCCTCACGAAGAGACAAAGAGCTGTGGTGTACAAAGATAAACTTGACTCTACTATAATAGTGTTTTCGTGCCTGAGGCATGAACTGCACAGGCAGGACTTGTACCATTCCGTAGCGCATATTAACCCCACTTGCCAGCAACTGATTAAGCTCCGCGATACCAATCGATAAGTCATTCAGAGCTCCTGTTCCTGACATTACTTCTCCCCATTTCACTCACACTACATCAGCACCCGTATTGTACGTTTCACGTCTCACGTCAAAGTCTCTACGCCTAAAACCCACCTTCTATTTCACTACCTGTCCATCTCTTCTACTGAAACCTGCTGTGCGGGGTATACAGCCATGGCAGATCGACAGGCAGTCCAGCAGAATCTCAACGGTCTCCTATCAAAGCTGGATGATCCAGACCCGGACATGAGGTACATGTCACTAAATGATCTACTGGGAATCCTCAACAGCCCTAGTTCCTCATATCTGGCTCACGATCAGTTTTCCTCCTCACGGCTAGCCGATGGCCTACTCAATGCTCTAGATGATCAACATGGCGATGTTCAAAACCAAGCTCTGAAATGGTTAGTCTATCCTTCATCTTATTTACGAACCTAATATAAATGTCTGACTGGCTTTGTCGATAGTCTCGGCCCGCTTGTGAATCGACTCCCTTCCGAAAGCCTCACCTCAATTCTCGAGAAACTTTCCAACCTGACGGCATCCCAGACCATCGATACCTCAGTCCCTAATACTGCCTTACGAGTTATTGTCACTGCTCTTCCTCGTCCTCAGGCCGGGCAACCACCCAGTCAAGATGCCTCCCTCGCTTACTCGGCCGTCTCTAAAGTTCTCATTCCTCGGTTAACCGGTCCTACTCCCTCTCGTTCCGGCAGAAGAGGCTCCGTGGTGAAAGGAATGCTCGAAAAGGATTCTTCCAAAGGATTCAGCAGTGATGCGATTGATGTGCTGATTCAACTCGTCACTTGCTTCGGTCCACTTCTCAAAGAAGCCGAGTTGACAGCTCTTCAGGAATCAGTGATGTCCATCATCGACAACGACAGGGCTGGCACCGTGGTCACAAAAAGGGCGCTGGCCGCTATCTCCGCCTTGGTGCCCCATTTCTCAGAGGCCCAGTTTAGCTCATTCGTCGACCAACTTGTCAAGAGGTTCAATTCGCCGCAAACCAGCGTCGTGCACCGAAGGCACCTTATTGCTACGGTTGGTAGTGTCGCTAGAAGCAGTCCGGCTAAGTTTGGCCCTCATCTTCCGACGCTCGCGCCGTTTGTGTTTGCTACTGTTGGAGAGGTTGTGGCGGCTTAGAGTTCTAGATCTGAAAAGTTTAATGAGACTAATTGAAATGAATCCATTCAGATACCCTTCATTGCTCGCTTCTTTTTACATTGCGGTGGCTTAACAGTGAGTGGTGGTGTCTGACTTGATATTGACGTGTAGGACTTTCATGAGTGTTGGTGAACAAAAGGAGGCATTGAATGGATCAATCACACATTAGTTGGACTATCCATGTCACTGGGGACAGAGATCGTAAATGAATTTAATTCATAATTGGACTTCATGCAAAAATATATATTGAGCCCATTTTGGACGACAAACCATCTCATATCTGGATATAACTTCCCTGACCTGTCGGTCGTGCAGAATAAGCTCGGTACGGCGATGGATGGTATATAATAATGCTTTTGCTATTTCGCTTAGCAAGAGTCGCCCTTGTATTTCAATGGTAGAATGCGTGACTTCTATTCTTATTATAAGAGTTATCTCGAGGCTGTGGGTTCGAGCCCCACCAAGGGCTTCAGCTTTTTTTTGCGCATCCAATATTCAACTAGGCGTTTATGTAAATGGATCACCGCGTAGTAAGTAGTAGGCAGAAGTAGTGATGCTACCAATAAAAAAGTCTTGACCGGACAGACATACCCAGAATATATATATACATTCCGAGTCTATATACACAAAGCTGCGTGCCAATGAGCGTGTATAATCTCGGAACAGAGAAAACCTCGGCGTAGAGCATTCAAGATAACGTCTCTACACACACTGAGCCATGCATCGCTGGCTGCGAGCCACCAACAAGGCATTGATGATGGATGGATAGGATAGAACTAACTTAATTAAACTTTGCTGCAGGTTAGAAAAACAGCACGGGTTTGAAAAAAAGAGTTCAAAAAAGACAATCGTCCAGGGAGAGGCTCGAACTCTCAACCTCCTGATTAACAGTCAGACGCGCTAACCAATTGCGCCACCCAGACGAGCTGTTGAAATATCGCATAAAAAACGTATGAAAGACGGTAAGTAGTTTTGAAAAATTGGCCAATTGAAGGGAAACACCCCACAAATCGGAATGCACTGGTCATACAATCTCCTGGAGTGTTGTACTTTTTATCACTTAATTAGAATATATTTCATTTTATGATATTAAATCTCTGTCAAGATACCAGTCCCTGGTTAATTAATTTTTCAACACCACCTCTATTGCTGAGGGTTATAGACTAAGAAACACTACTTTAGTTACTGCTCTACTCTTTCTAAATAGGATAGGTATTAGATTAAGTTCCTCGTGTTGAGGGCCAAGCTCAAGAAGAAGTTAACGATTTGTGATCCCACCTCCTATAGTCAGAAACCCTTAGTCGGCTTGTCCTGTAGCTACCCTAGCCCACCACGTGCAAGCGCTTATATATATAAAGAGCGTAGCGACCTCCCGTAGGTACGGAAGGTGGACAACTCTCTACTTAGCCTACCGCTACTTGCAATCACAGATTTATCTACTCAGGTCACCTTAAAATACTTAGGCATGCAACCATATCTGCTGAAGCTTCCCGTTTAGAGCAAACCACACAATGAATTCATTGTTTCATTGTCCTACTAAATTAGATATATATTCATAAAGACGCTTTGTTCAAACTTCAAGCTTCGTTATACAAGGTCTCCTATACAATGTAGGAACAACAGTGTTATTCAAGTAAGATGGATTTGTCCTAGCAAAAGTTTTGCTATATTAGAGCTGGACCGCTGGGTCAATTTCATTGGCTAAAATGATGCATATAGTCACTCTGAAGCAGATTTAATATATCTTTATAGGTACTGTGGATGCTTTGACCTGAAATAAAACACCCACTATTGGCAAAGTAGGGGAGGATTGAATAAAGTACTTAAACTACCTCCAATATATTGGGACATATCGCCTAAAAGATGGAAGCTTTTGTTGGCTTGTAAGTTGTGTTCACTGTCAAACAACGAACACCGCAACGAACACTGAAAACCATTGTAAAGCGTGAATGGAGCTAATAGGCCATCTACTTAAGTCCCCATGTTTCCATTCTATATTCTACACCCATCAGTCAGGCCATCCATTCTAATTGTTCTCCTGCTTCACTAGTACTCCTAGCCAGCCTCTAGATAAATCCAAACAGCTCCTCTTCTTTCATTTTGCTCTCCTTCTCCCAGATCATCAACCCTGTTTCTTACTCCTATTGCCATTTTCCAACTTACTCCTCATCCTTACTGTTGTGCACCACAGTATTCGTGCAAGATGGATACCTAGGCAATCGATCCTCGCATAATATACTGTTATGGGGAAAAGAAAACGGCAAAGATTTTACCGGCTTTGGAAGAGATGAAAACCGAACATGCATACATTATGAGGGAGGTACGCATGGGAATGGACCATCTGGTACTTTTTTCTCGAATTCAATGTCTGTGGTTTCTATGCCAATCTCCAAAATAATTTAAAGAGTCCCGACTCGGGGTATGTTCTCGAACGGCTTTATTGACAGTTCTTTATATTAAAGAGATTTACTTACGATCCTCGCCTGAAAGCCACGCTCTGTAAGCAGATTGGAACCGTCCTAAGCCGGTGCATATGGTATGTAAAAGTGGAAGCTATAAGGGGAAATTCAGAACACCAAAGGACTTTGGTTTCAAATGCAATACGCTTTGTGAACACGTTATAACCTCGCCCTGAAGAAAAAAACTGGAGGCCAGACGAGGGCCATCCGCAGCTCCCGGAGCCAGATGAGAACGAGACACAGCTTCTGGAACCAGATGGGGGTCCTGCCAGAAATAGTACAAGAGACGAATTTGCGAATGCATAATTTCCTCCCGTGGAGCTCCAGGATATTGGCAAAGCTGATCACATAGGTCTACTGAGCCATACTCTTTTCACGGTGACAATGGAGATTTCTCGCTTCGAGAACTTGCTCCAGGAAATTGACACGGAAGAAATAATCCAAATTCTGTCAATAGGAGTGAACACTGATGTCAGAAGAAGAATATGTGGTGAGTGGCTCTTTGAAATTTAGAAGTAAGTTCTGTCTATATTAAAGATGTCTTGAGAAATTACTTATACGGCTCTCAGTATCGAGAATATCGGCGGGGAGGACCCCACTAACTCAGCAAAAGCGGGGGTATACTTGCATATTATCCCTCTTAAACGCAATCCCCGCATGTTCTAGCTTTATATTAGCCAAGGTACACATTTAAAAGATCGTATCCGGGATCATGGGCATAGAAGACGTCGGCGTCGTCATTCTTCGCTCCATTACAGTGTTTGGAACACAGAACAAGCGAAAGATTCCAAGTTTGTGATATTGTACAGCTATGATAGAGACCAAGAACATGGCATGAATAATGTACTTGGTTCACTTCATCTCCATAGCAATTGCTGCTGATTTTGGCAGAGATGTAGATGTGCTGTATTTTCCAGACGCCTACACCCTTACATTTGGACAAATGCCTCCCAGCGCACATGGACAAGCCTTGAGATGGGTATCACCTCAATATCGCCTTTCCGCTATTGCAGCCTTTCACGAGCTCGCCAGAGGCAGAGGCAGAGACAGTGGGAAGCTGAGACGCCTTTGAAAATTTTCTTCTTTCTTCTGGCCCCAAAATCCGGCACTGTGCTGAGGGCACGCATTTAACCAGCTCAGGAACTCACCTGATCCTCGACTTCGAGGCTACTATGGGCAACAGATTCGCCACTCTTTGAATGAGGCTAGTGTTGCACAACAAACAAAGGCGATCCTTAGAATGCGGGAGGATCTTTCCAGTCAAGGGTGCAAAGTCAATACCATGAAAAGGATATCAAATGACCGTGAGTATATCACCACTTACCTGGAATGTGGTCAGTCCAAATTTATGGTATCCGCGAGTTTGGCATCAATCTGCGGCATGGAGACATAGTACATGTTCGCTTTTATCTCGAAATAACTGAACACCCCTATAAATATGCTCTACATGCACGAGCTACAGATCCAGCCAATTGACTCGTATCTCTGTGAGCGGAAATGATGGCTTTAGTGATTTCCACGTGTGGCTATATGCTTCGAGGATGAGAGGACGGTAAAGAAGATGAACGTCCTTGTTGATATTCTCGAAGGGTACGATTATAAGGAGAGAAGGAAAATGAACCTTCCAACGTGTTGTATATGGCTAGTTCTCCCTCAAGAAAACATCACTATACATAACGAAGACACCTACTTGAGCTATAGTGAGATTTCGTGGAGAGCAATACCCTCTGCTTCTCTTTCTCTTTCTCTTCTCTTTTCTTTTTACCCTCTCTTTTCTCTTTTTCTAGTCTGCCATCTGCAGATGAAGTAATAGAACCAAATATAACATATTTCTGAGATGCAATAAACAAGAAGCCTTATTCATTTGCACTTTATTGTCTTGCCTTTGTGTAGTTGATGTTCACATTTCCCCGGAAGGAGGATTAACAGCATACCAACACCTTAGAAATTCCAAATGCAATTCTTTCAACTCCCTTGTACCCTTCCAGAATATTACTTCAACAGATCTTCTCTTGTACAGTTTCTGACAAGACGGCGTTGAGGATTCCGTGCGAGAAAAACGCTTCCGGTGGCAGTATTTGTCATCTCGTATCTATCCCCAGGGTTTCTCCTCAAAAGCTATAAACATTGCATTTCGCAAAATCAATTGCATGCATTGCCAAAGAAACGGGAAAATGATAAAGGAAATAAGATGGTTGCAACGATCATAACGATCAAAATACTTGCGAAGGTGATTCCTCTCCCCTGAATTAGCGAGACCGATATGGTGTTGGGGATAGGTGATGCAACAAGCCATTTTAGGGGACAAGATCGAATCGAAACGTCATGGTAAAAGGACTTGCAGAATAGAGCAGGATTATTTAAATAGATTCTGGCCTAGTAAATATTACAAGGACTGTGACTATGTAGTGTAGATATTAGTATCAACAAGGACAAGTTTTCTTATTTTATTTTTATGGTGAATATAAAATAAAACACAAGATTAATTAAAAACAACCCGTGATTTATTTACTGCATTAAGAAAAGTAAATATCTTTATACTTATTTAACAGTGATCTCTGCTTGAAAATTTTACTGTACTTAATAATCATCCCCTTGGGAAAATATGGCACCTGGATCCCCAGATAGATACTTATCCTCGTCGAGCTCAAGAGATTAGAGCTGTTGACATATACAGAGCTGTCAACTAGGTGGAGCCAGGCGCAAAAAAATAATAAAAATAAAGAAAAACAAAAAAGAGAACCGTCCAGGGAGAGGCTCGAACTCTCAACCTCCTGATTAACAGTCAGACGCGCTAACCAATTGCGCCACCCAGACAAGTTATAGTTTGCGCTAAAAAACTATAGTTAATGAGTTATTCAATGACAAAGAGCACGTTACTACTACATAGTTCTAGGAATCTGATTGGTCTACATGCTCACTATTTAATTTAAAGTTCTTATATGGGCTCGCAGCTCATCGTTGGTAGAGGTTTAGTCCGTCGGTAGGCCTTAAAAAGTCTGAAAGTTCT